AACATGATCTATTCACTTACAATCCAGAACTGTCACATTGACCTCTGATGTGATAAACTTTTAAGTGTCTAGTCTTTCGAGTGAATGTGGCACTATGGATTCCCCAAGGGCAAGTGAGCATATCATGTGTTTTGGAAAAGGGGATGAAAAAAGTAGAATGTAGGAAGGAAGCCAGGGAGAATAGACCAAGGTCTGAAAAGGCATAACAAAAAGGCACACTTAGGAGATAGATGGTTTGCAGTTGGCCAAGCCTCTGAGCATCGCTCCAAATCCCCTCCAACCTGGGTTGAGTTGGAAAAGTAATGGACCTCCTGCCCTAGACTGGCTCCAAGCTGTTAGGAGAGTTTGGATCAAAGTTGATATAAATGTTAAGAAAACATCTTTAACAACAACAAATAAGGTTACACAGTAAACCTTGAACAAAGAGTTCATGAACTGATAATGTGTCTAGATTGGCCAGAGAGTAGACAGGAGTACAGAAATGAGGGAAAAGAAAAAAACAGAGTGCTGTTTGGATCTCCTCCAGTGAGTGAAAAGTGGCTTCTCTAAACCCATGACAAGTGTCTGGGTCCTTAAAGGAATCAAACATCTTATAAACAGCCTGCAGGACACAAGACTATAGTTCTTCCTAAGTGAAACACTTCAGCACAGTAAGCTCTTTAAGTACCTGGGCTGGCTGAACATTGATAAACACCGTTCACTGGTTGTAATGGTTGGACTGCAGAGACTTACAAGAAATAATTCCAAAAATTGATTTTGGAAACATTACAAAGCTCAGGAGCATGACTTCAGCACGTTGCTCATTCTATCAGAAATCCCCAGCAGAATCGAGAATAATGCTGTGCTGCTTTAAAATGGTGGCATAAACATTACTTTAAGTTTGATTAAAATTTAAACAAATTGTAACAAACAGATGCAATGGCTCTTTTATACATTACTGATGACATTTAAAGTTCTAACAGCAGAGTAAGAGGAAATGACTTTCAGGTAGTCTCAAAATAGTATTTTAACTAAAGTTTTTTTTTTTTTTGTCTTTTTTTCCGTGTCCGGCAACGGATCGCAACCCTCAGTGTTGCCCCCGTACCGGACCGGGGACCGGCAACGGGATTGCAAGCCTCGGTGTTGCTCCCGCGCCTCGCTCAGCCAGTGAGCGGGAACCGGTCTGTATGTGGGATCCGAACCCTCGGACGGGAGCGCCGCCGCGCTTCCCAAGCGGCGCACTATCCAGTGTGCCACCAGGCCGGCCCTTAACTAAAGTTTTTGAACTAATATTCATACAATATTTATGTAACTAGGACAACTTAATATTCTAAACAATGACAATTCCTCAAAGCATTGTTCTAAAAGAAGGAATAAATAGTACATACACTTATACTGTTTCATGACCAGCTAATACAGGGTGACTTTTGATGTGAAAATCTGATGACTTTTTAAAGAGCAGCCTTCTATATGATTATTTCAGTAATTCATTAGTTCAGCCTGAGAAGTGCGTAAACATGAAGTTCTGTGCACATGCCATATTTTTGATGATTGTTATCAGAGACAGTACAATTACCATTTGAAGTACAGAAATACAACTGGTAGACCCAAACAGAGGACTGTCATTGAGTTGTCGTCCAAGTGCCCATCACCACTTTATTACCTGGTATCAACTCCACTTTGGGGTTAATTGGAAATGCGTGTAAACAAGAAAAAAACAATTCACCAAATTCAGAATAAGGGAAACTCCTTGAGATTGCACTGAAGAGTATTCCAAACATCTTTTGCTTATTGCAGTAGATGCTCTGCTACACTGCCCCAGCCACTGGGAGGGCAGCCAAGAGAAAGTCCTCAGACAGCAGCTTCCTTCAGGGCTTCAGGCTGAAGACAGCCACTTTGCCCAAGTTTGCAACCCCTTCCCAGGGCAGCCAGCACACAATCACTGAACAATGTGGTCATATAAAGGTCCAGACCCTTGACCCCAATTGGGGATGACTCTGAAGGGTCATCCCAGCTTCAGAATGCTTCAGGACTTCATTGGAAATGACTGAATCTCAGCTTAACTTCTTGCTGACAAACTTTCTTCCATAGCTTCCCTTCTACAGGTGTTGACCCTCAGAACACTCCCTGGTAAATCCCCTGTGTGTTCATCTGCACATCAGAGTCTGCACCCTGGAGATCCCAGACTGCAATAATTAGTAGTTGAAGGTCTCCTTGAACAACTATCTTTATGGATAAATATGAAACAAGTAATAGGACTAAACCTCAGGGTTCAGTAACCAGGTTGTGATGCAAAGTGGAGAACTGACCAAAAATGACCTTTAATTTTCACTGTTTCATCAGTGAGCTATCTGGGATGGCCCTCACCAACTTCTCCCTGCAGGAGGTGTTGTATTACCTATGTGTGTGGGTGGGGGTGGGCCCCAAATTCCCCAGGGTTTGAGCAACAGGTAATCCTAGACAAACCCTCTAAACAGCTGAAACCCCAAACCAGATAACAAGGTACCAAAGTGGTCTGATTATTCCCCCTGACAGGTCCACTTTCTCACACCTACCCACAAAAGGCAGGACAGCAGAGAGGGCAAGATCCCTGCACCAGAACAATGGATCTCCCTCCCCAGCAATCTCCTGCAAGTCCAGCAGACACCCTGGTCTCTTCAGGCCTCTCTGAGGGAAGATGGCAGGAAGGAAGAACCTGGCTTCTCTTCTCTCACTGATATTGGCCTGGTATAGTTTTCTGTTTCTCCACCAAAGTCTGCCGGTGGTGCTGTGGAATTTATCTTGAGCCTTTGTGGCTAACAATTGGACACCCATATGGAACCCTACATGCACAACACTGGTGACCACAGAGGGATGAATTCTGCTTAGCACCAGTTATGACTTTTTCAAGATATCAGAGGGGTCAATGACCACTTGAAGTTGGAGACACCTGCGATGTAGAAAGGTCACTGGGAGAGCCAGCGGTGGATCAACCACAACATCTGAAAGTTCCCAGTCCCAGAAAGAGGATGGCCTGGAGTGAAAAGTTGTCAGTGGCTGGCCGGAGCTGACTCCATGCTGTGGGGCAAGAGCAAGGTGTCTGCAGTAACCCCAAGAGCTTCTGCAGCGTGGCCAAGACAACAAGCTAAAAGTGTGGATGGGAGAATCTGTATCTTAGAGGCAAGAACTGCCCCCAGTTCAGCTTCCCAGAAACCACTGGCTTCCTTCCCCAGAAGGAGGACTATTCCTTAACCAGAGCTTCAGGACATTGTGAAATTCATCTTAGAGCCTGGCACATGACAAGCAAAGTCCCAGATGAGACCCACCTTGCCCCACAAAAGGGCACCTAGTATTTCTTGCACCAATAGCATACAATTATGTATAGCTTTTCCTTTACAAACACATTCACATGCATTAACTCAGTAAGACCCATGTCAGCATAGTGAAGTTGGCAAGGGACATATTATGTAATCCACACACTTTCAGAAAGAAAAATTGGAACACAGGGTCATTCCTGATTTATGAAAAAACCTTATAAAGGCATAGAACTTGAATCACAGCTACTTACACATATAATGTACTCTCTCTATGTGTGTGGGGGGGGTGTATTTTTTTTTAAAGATAAGATTACATGAAGCTTATACAAAAGTTCCTGGAAATGTGGTCAGCATAATTATACGGCATGAAATTAACCTTGATGCTTACTTTAAAACTCCCTTTGATAAAAGTTTTAAGGAGAGAGAGATTAGATGTTCAGAGGCTCAGATGAGAGGATATTGGAGAAAAGGAATTAGAGCTGAGAGAAAGTGACTGCTAGTGAAGAATATACAAGTCTATGGTTGGGACCTTATGGCAATGCAGGATGCTCCATGTAGTCAGTACATGCAAAAGCAGCTTAAAAAATCTACCCCCAGTACACTGCAAGATGCAGCTACCCAGGACAACTTGGTATTTCTGGAACCATGTGCACTTGCTGCTCCTCTTCTGAAATGCCTGCTCTCTTCTCCTGCTCTGGGAAATGCAAAACCACTTCAATAAAATAGGATCCATTCGATAAACACATGTCTATCAGAGGCCCACTAGGTGCTAGATATTTGCTGGGGGCCAATGAAGAACAAGCCATAGTCTAAGGCACAAAGGCACCGATCACTCTGCACTAGAGTATGACGGGAGATTAAAGTGGACTCCAGTTGTGCACTTTGAGAAGCACAAGCAATGGCTGCTTCACCTAAGAATGATCCAGTGTCCACAGTGTGCTATATACAGCACTGCATGCAATTGCCATCTACTGGGAGGGAGTCACTCTACTGAGTCAGTCTTCCTATAAAATAAAGAAGGGACATAAGCTTCATATAACTGATTCTAAATTTCGCCAAACTATGCCCTTAATTTTGCGTTGTAATAATGTGTCACAGGAGCTAAGCAGAATTGTTGCTCTGAGTTCCTTACTTCTTGTAGAATTACTGACACTTAAAAAGTAGAAGGGACCCTGGAGACTGACACTCTAACCGTCATGCAGCACAGAAGCCCCTTCTTGAAGTCCTGACAACTGGGCACATAAACAGGAGGTAGAGTGTCATCTGCTTCCTTTGTTTGTACCAAAGTGATCCATTGAAGCTCAAACACTGCAGCACGTTACACGCTGGGAAGTGATGATCCGTAGGGTGTATTTCTGGAACAAAATGCTTCTGGAAACCCCAGAAAACTCCCCTGCCGCCCCTATATTGGACATGCGCATAAAACAGATGGTTCTTAGTTTTAATTTTTGTGAACTCCCAGGTGGATTAAACCAAACATCTCTGAGCTTTGTTCATTATTGCTACAGTAGGTAATTTGTGCCTGAGGTAACAGTAGAGTTATTAATGAAAATGAAGACTAATTAAAAAACAAAAACCTAAACTCAGACTGAGGTAAAAATATGGAGTACTCACAAATGAATTTATCCAAGTTACCTTTTTTCCGTCCTAAAAGACAAATATTACATTGGTTGCAATGAGAAAAAAGTACATTGTCACCTTGTATCGTACATTTGTTGAACATACCTGCAGCCCTTCGATGGCCAGTTTAAGGATTGATGGTGTCAGTTTGGAGGCTTGTTTGAAGGAAAAATTACTCCAGTCTATAATTAAAATGAAGCCATTTATCTGCAGCTCAGGATCTTCAATAAGGACTTCCAACGAGAGCAGGATGGCGCGGAGGATGTCTGTGAAGGAGTTCCTGTGGCAGAGCAGAAGGGAGAGCCATGTGTGAGCAGCAGGCCACAGCACAGCGGCCCCTCCACCCCGTTGCTATGTGAGCCCAGCCCGCAGGGTCACACTGGCATTCTGTACCCAGAACGACTGAAAAGAAGTTTGCTAAACTTCCCAGGAACAATGTTTCAAGATGCCCAGGGTGATCTTTGACCTGACCCTACCAGCACCCACAATGTACTGAGGTGTCTCTCTCCTGCATTCCCATGGCTCTCTATCCCCGGCTTCCACCACTGATTGCATTTCACTGAAATACATTCCTTATTCATCTCTCTCCCTCACACAGCTTTGATGTCCACCCCTGAGGACAAACCACAGTAGTGTCTCCAGTACCCAGGCGCTCAATGAATCACTGCCAAACAAATGAGGTGAGACCTTAAGCAGAGGCACTTATTTTGATGAAACCTCATGTATTACTTTTGGATGTCTAAAATATTGCTAAGAATATAAAGATATTCATGCAGCTGATGCCATTTTTTTTAGCTTCAATTCATGGATAAAGAAAAATAAAGCTGGAAGAATAGCTTATTTTCACTGAAGGTCTACAGAGTGTGATTGGGGAGGGAAATTGCTTTGCATACACCAGTAACTATGACAACAGGCAGATCGGAACACCAGCTAGAGAGTCAGTTTGCCAGCGTCGTGTGCATTCCTCCACAGCATATATTCCCATTCACCAGTTGATGGGAAATTGCTTTGCATACACCAGTAACTATGACAACAGGCAGATCGGAACACCAGCTAGAGTGTCAGTTCGCCAGCGTCGTGTGCATTCCTCCACAGCATATATTCCCATTCACCAGTTGACTTGTGCTTAAATAATCTTCAGACATGGAGAAATTAGGCACGTTTACTCTGCTGTTTCACCCAGCAAATTATCTGAGCTATAAATCTAGATCTTAGAGGATCTCTACATTCAGTGTCTTTCTCCGATGAGTAGGAAAACATAAGTTTAGATGGACAAGAGATGGCAAAATCTACTCCTCCCTTCAGGCTTTCATTAAAATCAGAAGCCAAATCCTCTTGTGAAATCAGTGTGAAATGATTCAATTTTTGAGCAATACAGTCTGGTTCAAATTCTAACCAAGCCTGATGATTAAGGTTAGAAATCAGGAAATCTGTGATTGAAATGATAAGCCAGTAAGAATTTCCTGAATGCCTGTTAGAGGCTCAGTGTAGTGTTTCATGCTTGAAGTTATAAATTAGGATGTCCTATTTCTACTTTCAAAGAACACTTAATTTAGTTGAGATGGGATGGGAGATTAGCAACATGAGTTGAGAGGGAGGAATAAAATTTGAATTGTCAGGGATGAGTGTGGGGGGGGGATAAAGACTTGGGATAAGTCTTGAAGGATGGACAGGATTTTAATGAATAATTGGGGGAAGGGGGAGCAGAACCTTTCTGTTTCTGTATAGTTCTTCTTTCTAAAAGTTATTTTCTTATATCAACCTAAAATTTTCTTCCCCCAAATGTGGAGAATGCTTACATTTATAAAGCAAATATATTTCACAGGGCTTAGTTTCTTGCAGTTTCAGGTTTAACCTAACTTCTTAAAAGTACATATAAAATGTTAACCTTGCAAAAGACAGGAAATTTTTCTCCAGGCTAGTCTCTGTTGTAAGATAAAGAATTGTAGCACAGCAAGGGTGCTGGCTCAGAGGACAGACAGGTTACTGATTGATAGGTAAAGATACTGGGAAATTGCTGTAAGGAGAGAGAATGTCTGCTAAGATCAAGCTCTTGTTGGTGGACCAACTTCTTAATTTCTTGCAAGTTGCATTATGGAATGTCACCTTGCTTGTTTTACTGAATGTTACCAGCCTATATTGTTAACCATAACCCCACCTATGTTCTTTTCCTGTAACTTCCTGGTCTGGAGAATAAATGTGGGGCGAGAACCCAAATTCATGGTTAATTTCCCAAATGGAAGGAATGCCTCTCTCTTGGGAGATTAACCCCTTTGGGGCTTCTCACTACTCAGAAGAGATGGGCTTTGAGTAATTCTTTGTGGCTCCATCACCCAGGGGAAAAGGGGTGACAAATTCATGGGAAGCAAAGCAACATCCAAATCCATCCTCATTGGAAGCAGTCCTGCTATGTAGAAAAAAATCAGGTTTTTCCACACCACACACTTTCAACTATCTAAACACAGTGGTCATGATGCCATATATAATCTCTAGATTAAAGAAAATTGTTAGTAACTTTAGCCATTTCTCATAGAAAATGGTTTTCTAAAACTCTTCTCATCATAATCATTGTCCTTCAGGCCTATTTCCTGTTCATCTTCAGAAATGTCGTACTCCTGTTAGCATAGGGTAAGTCTTCATTAGCGTTCTGTTTTTGTTTTTGCATTCACATCAAAATGATTATCGAAAGGTACTGTATTTCAGATGTATTTCAGAAATATATCTTTGTATTGGGAAAAAAACATTGATTTAAGTGGAGCCTGGGACCAGAGATTATGAGTTTAGGCAGTTCCAAATGGAAATATGGAAATGCCCAAAGGTAAACCAGAAATGATTGTTAGGACATCACAGACTCTAAGCCAGGATGAGATTTCTTACATACAGGGAGGAAATTAGGACCAAAAGGCTGAGCCTTAGGTAAAGTCTACATATAGTACAGACATTGAAGGAAGAAGAACTTAAGAAATAATAAAAGGTGAGAAGATCAAGATAGCATTATGTTAAAAACAAAAAAAAGAGGAGAGTGTTTCAAGATGCAAGGGCATGATAAATTGCATTCCTGCATTAGTGGCCTCAATTCTTCACTTTAGTCCTGGCATCCACACACTAACTCTGGTCTCATTGAGGGTACAGTGTATTTTCTGTCCCTTGACCATGTGACTTTCCTTTGACTAATAGCATATAGACAGGCATGACAGCACCAATTCCCAGCCTAGCTCTTAAGAGATCTCAGATGTCACCACTTGTTCTCTTGGCCTTCTGCCCTTGCCATGGTCAAAACATACCACAGCTAGCATGCTGGCCTGAGGAGGAGGATGAGAGACACACAGACCAGTGACTCCCCAGCCAGCTAGCAGACCTTCATAAGGAACCCAACCACTGAGCTGACCCCAGCCTAGATAAATTCCAGCTGCCCTGCAGATGCATGAGCAAATATAGAGGATTGCTTTTTTAAGCCACTGAGTTTTTGGACGGCTTGTTACACAGCAATGGCTATCCAATACCAGAGGGCAGTTAACAGAGTCAAATGCAATAGCAAGATCAAGGAGAATAAGGAAGGATACAGGACTGTTGTATTTGACAACAAATAGAACTTTGGAGAGTTTTGAGGGAGACCTTTTAGTTGAATGGTGAAGATAGAAATAATTAATTATGAAGATCTTTAGCAAATCACTTAATCTCTACTTCATTTTACTCCCACTCCCATCACATATTCACTAATATCCACTTCCAAGAAAGGACATTGAATTCTGCCAGGAAACCTGGAAACACTATATGCAGTTGGGGGACCAGCACCTTGTTGCAGGATAGGCACTGGCAGCAAATGGAGTGTTATATTCACAGAATGAGCCCAGGAGAAAAGTAAAAGAATATGGACTTCATTATAGTTTCTAAGTGTTCAAATGCTTCACTTTTCCAGAGGAACAGGGTGGGCAGGAAAAAGTTGGACAGACTATGCCTGTAGTCATGAGGCTTCACCCCTGCTGAGGAGTGTGACTCTACCTCTCACCCTAGCTGAAATCATTACCTTGACTTCCTCACTTCTTGGCTTCCTCATATGGATTTCCTCATCTTTTTCCTCTTTCTTATTTATAACACCCTTGACTTGTGGAATCCACCTAGATTTTTAAAATTTAAAATACCTATTAGCCCAAATAATTTATGTAGATACTCCACCCTCAAGGACATGGAGCCTAACTCCCCACTTCTTAAGTCTCGGCTGAGAACAGCTACTTCCTTCCAAAGAATACAGTAGAGAAAGAGAGAAAAAAGAGTAACCGCACAATAGAGAAACCTAACCAACACTATCTGAGCCAGGCGGTCAAGGCAACACCACCAATGATAGATTGTGCTGTTGGGATTTACCCTTGTTATGGTGATGCGAAAGAGAGAAAAAAGAGTAACCGCACAATAGAGAAACCTAACCAACACTATCTGAGCCAGGCAGTCAAGGCAACACCACCAATGATAGATTGTGCTGTTGGGATTTACCCTTGCTATGGTGATGCAAATGGCACTTCGCCTCCGGGATCTTCTTCCCCAAAATCCATAACCAGAGATTAATCATAAGAAAAACATTAGACAAATTCCCATTGATGGCATTCTACAAAATACCTGACCAGTACTCCTCACAATTGTCAAGGTCATCCAAAAATAAGGAAGTCTGAGAAACTGTTACAGCCAAGAGGAGCCCAAGGAGACACAAAGACTAAATGTCATGTGATATCCTGGATGGGATCGTGAGACAGAAAAAGGACGTTACATAAAAACTAAAGAAATCTGAATACTTTTTCCTCTTTCTTATTTATAACACCCTTGACTTGTGGAATCCACCTAGATTTTTAAAATTTAAAATACCTATTAGCCCAAATAATTTATGTAGATACTCCACCCTCAAGGACATGGAGCCTAACTCCCCACTTCTTAAGTCTCGGCTGAGAACAGCTACTTCCTTCCAAAGAATACAGTAGAGAAAGAGAGAAAAAAGAGTAACCGCACAATAGAGAAACCTAACCAACACTATCTGAGCCAGGCAGTCAAGGCAACACCACCAATGATAGATTGTGCTGTTGGGATTTACCCTTGCTATGGTGATGCAAATGGCACTTCGCCTCCGGGATCTTCTTCCCCAAAATCCATAACCAGAGATTAATCATAAGAAAAACATTAGACAAATTCCCATTGATGGCATTCTACAAAATACCTGACCAGTACTCCTTACAATTGTCAAGGTCATCCAAAAATAAGGAAGTCTGAGAAACTGTCACAGCTAAGAGGAGC